ATTTAGGGTTACCTAGGGACAGGTCAGGTGGCCTATGTGTGATTTCAGCGCAAGGTGCTCCAGGCCTCAGGGTCCGGGTGCGAGCTTTGGAGACCAGAATAGCTGGACTGAAGGAGCTATGGGAGGCAGAGAGGCACATAGATGAGACTTTCCAAGACGCCGTAGAGCAGTCCCGCTTCTGGACAGGCAGCCTGTGTGCTGTTGAAGAGGCTGAAAGTCTCAAGGAAGGAGCAGAGGGAAATGAAACCATAGCTGGGACCTCCCTTCCTGATGATGGTATTTGTAATGGGAGATTCGACATTAGAAACATAGACAGCTGGGTGTGTGATGACCAGGAGAAGTGCCTGGTAACGATATAAATAACGGTGTAGACGTAGCCCGAGTGAAACATGCTTGGCGGCTTTCACTTGCACATTTAAAACCATGAATGATTTTATATCCCATATTTCTAACTTTACACACAAAAATGATACTTACGACAAAATAAGCGACGAGGAGTCCTGTGGCACCTTATAGACTAACATGCATCTGACGAAGTGGGTCTTTGCCCACGAAAGCTTATGCTCCTACACTTCAGTTAGTCTATAAGGTGCCACAGGACTCCTCGTCGCTTATTTTGTCGTAAGTATCATTTTTGTGTGTAAAGTTAGAAATATGGGATATAAAATCATTCATGGTTTTAAATGTGCAAGTGAAAGCCGCCAAGCATGTTTCACTCGGGCTACGTCTACACCGTTATTTATATCGTTACCAGGCACTTCTCCTGGTCATCACACACCCAGCTGTCTATGTTTCTAATGTCGAATCTCCCATTACAAATACCATCATCAGGAAGGGAGGTCCCAGCTATGGTTTCATTTCCCTCTGCTCCTTCCTTGAGACTTTCAGCCTCTTCAACAGCACACAGGCTGCCTGTCCAGAAGCGGGACTGCTCTACGGCGTCTTGGAAAGTCTCATCTATGTGCCTCTCTGCCTCCCATAGCTCCTTCAGTCCAGCTATTCTGGTCTCCAAAGCTCGCACCCGGACCCTGAGGCCTGGAGCACCTTGCGCTGAAATCACACATAGGCCACCTGACCTGTCCCTAGGTAACCCTAAATGCTACATTGTGTGCAATAGCTGTGATAGTCCGCACTCGGCTGCTGGGCTTCTACCTGCATCCTCTTTTCACTCCCAGAGCTAACTCTGGGTATGTCTACACTAGCCCCCTAGTTCAAACTAGGGAGGCTAATGTAGGCATTCGATATTTAAATATCCTGGGCTTCATTTGCATCTTCCCGGGTGCCGCCATTTTTAGAAGTCCCTTAGTCCGAACTCCGTGCCCGCGGCTACACGCGGCACGGAGTACGTAGTTCGAATTAGGATCTCTAATTTGAACTACCGTTACTCCTCGAACTAGGGGGCTAGTGTAGACATACCCAGAGTTAGCTCTGGGAGTGAAAAGAGGATGCAGGTAGAAGCCCAGCAGCCGAGTGCGGACTATCACAGCTATTGCACACAATGTAGCATTTAGGGTTACCTAGGGACAGGTCAGGTGGCCTATGTGTGATTTCAGCGCAAGGTGCTCCAGGCCTCAGGGTCCGGGTGCGAGCTTTGGAGACCAGAATAGCTGGACTGAAGGAGCTATGGGAGGCAGAGAGGCACATAGATGAGACTTTCCAAGACGCCGTAGAGCAGTCCCGCTTCTGGACAGGCAGCCTGTGTGCTGTTGAAGAGGCTGAAAGTCTCAAGGAAGGAGCAGAGGGAAATGAAACCATAGCTGGGACCTCCCTTCCTGATGATGGTATTTGTAATGGGAGATTCGACATTAGAAACATAGACAGCTGGGTGTGTGATGACCAGGAGAAGTGCCTGGTAACGATATAAATAACGGTGTAGACGTAGCCCGAGTGAAACATGCTTGGCGGCTTTCACTTGCACATTTAAAACCATGAATGATTTTATATCCCATATTTCTAACTTTACACACAAAAATGATACTTACGACAAAATAAGCGACGAGGAGTCCTGTGGCACCTTATAGACTAACATGCATCTGACGAAGTGGGTCTTTGCCCACGAAAGCTTATGCTCCTACACTTCAGTTAGTCTATAAGGTGCCACAGGACTCCTCGTCGCTTATTTTGTCGTAAGTATCATTTTTGTGTGTAAAGTTAGAAATATGGGATATAAAATCATTCATGGTTTTAAATGTGCAAGTGAAAGCCGCCAAGCATGTTTCACTCGGGCTACGTCTACACCGTTATTTATATCGTTACCAGGCACTTCTCCTGGTCATCACACACCCAGCTGTCTATGTTTCTAATGTCGAATCTCCCATTACAAATACCATCATCAGGAAGGGAGGTCCCAGCTATGGTTTCAAAAGTCACTTATGGGATACTGTCGGGTTTCAAATGTTCAGATAGACACTTCCTTTTTTTTTTACTAACTCTTTAGAGGGAGAGGGACCCCATTAGAAGTCCTGGGCTCTATCTCAGTTCAGGAAGGGCAGTGAGGTCTAGTGGGCTGCACCAGGGGCAGAAGCATTTGGGTTCTAGGTAAGAACCTCAAAACGGACAGACCAAAGGTCCATCTAGCCCAGTGGCCAATACCGGGTGCCCCAGAGGGAATGAACCCAACAGGCAATCATTGCGTGATTCACCCCATCACCCTTTCCCAGGCTCTGGCAAACAGAGGCGAAGGACGTGCAGAACACGGTTTTGGATATCTGGCCACAGTGACTAATAGCGACTGAGGGACCTCTTCTCCATGAACTGATCTAGTTCTTTTTTAAACACTTCTAGTTTTGGCCTTTACAATAGCCTCTGGCCCAGAGTTCCACTAGCTGACCGTGAAGAAATACTTTCTTTTGTTTGTTTTAAATTTGCTGCCTATTAATTTCATTGAATGACTCCTAGTTCTCATGTGTTCAAAAGTCTCAGCGGGGTAGCCGTGTTAGTCGGTAACTAAAAAAACTTAAATGCCAAGAATGGTCCTGTAGCATCTTAGAGACTAACCAAAAATATATAGATACTATCATGAGCAGGGCTCGACAAATTATACAATCTATTTGTCCATGGTGAGTAGATTGTAACCTGGAAGAGCTGGGTTCTGGCCATCTGCGCATGCGCAGAACGATCTGCGCATGTGCAGATCACCGGACAGCGCGGCTGGTGAGCGGGGGTTGCCGCGGTTTGGCGAGCCCTGATCATGAGCTTTCGTGGGCACAACCCAGTTCTTCAGATGACAGATATGGAACAAGAAGCACAGAGCTTCAAATAAAGAGCAGAAAAAGAGGGGAGAGGAGGAGGAAAAAACCCCATGTCAAGTAAAGTGTCTGTTCTAAATGAGGCTAATAGAGTGGGCTGTAGGTGTCTGATATTTAGCTTTTGATATCAGTTGGGTGTTGAATATGAACTGAATGGGCCATTATGTCTTTTTTTTCAAGCCATGAGAGACAGTGGCACATTTACATATGAAGGCCTGTTCCGCAGACTGTCTGGTTGATTTCTGAAATTACTTTGTAAGAGAATGGCCACCTTTAAATCCATTAATGAGCGTGGGGCAAGCTACAATGTTCTCTTACAGGTTTCTGTGAGTTACCATTTCGAATATCTGAGTTGTGTGCATTAAGCCCCCGTCCAGTTTGGCCAACATCCATGGCAGGGGGGCGTTGCTGGTACTTGATGGCATAGATCACATTAGCAGATGTGCACTTGTACAAGCCCCTGATGTGGTGGCTTATGTGGTTGAGTCTTGTGATGATGTCGCTTGTATAGATGTGTGGACAGTTGGCACCAGCTGGCTCTTGTGTGAGTATGTTTGAGGTGTGCTATGTGGTTGCTGCAAATAATCTGTTTCAGGTTGGTAGGGGGAGGTTGTCTGTAGGCGAGGATTGGCCTGTCCCCCAAGGCCTGTGAGAGTGAGGGGTTGTTTTCCAGAATAGGTTGTAGATTGTTAATGATGCCCTGGAGGGTGGTTAAGTTGGGGCTGTAGGTGATGACTAGGCTGCAGGTGATGAGTAGTGGTGTTCTGTTTTCTTTGTTTGTTAGGCCGATTTTCAAGAAGCTGATGTCTGGCTCTGTCAATCTGTTCTTTTCACTTCTCTGGGTGGGTATTTCAGTTTTAAGAATGCCTGATAGAGACCCTGTAGGTGTTTGTCTCTGTCTGTGGGATTGGAGCAAATCCGGTTGTATCTTAGGGCCTGGCTGGAAACAATCGATCGGATAATGTTTGGCCTTCACAGAATCCTCTGGCAAGGAGTTCCAAAGGTTGACAGTGAAGAAATAGTTCCTTTTATTTCTTTGGCTCAGGGAGCGACTCAGGAAAGGCAACCTAGGAGAGGTGCCTGGGAGGGAAGAGGTTCCAAAAGGGGGAGCTACGAGTGCCAAGCCCTGTGGTGGAGCTGCTCCCTGCAGGAATCCCTCGCCAGGCAATGGCAGGTGCTCCCGATCACACAGTAACGACGTGGGGCTCTGGAGAGCAGCTCCCGTGCTTTGCGCTCTGGTCTAGGGTGACTTGGTCCTGACTCAGCATGGGGGGAAGGAAGGGATGGCCCCTGGGGGTGGATTCCCGCCCCGCCTTTCTGTGTCTCTGCATGGGGGAACGTAGCCCTACAGCTCAGATTTGGATGGGGCGGGATGGTAAGTGGATGGGCCGCACTTCAGCCATGGCTATGCCCTTGCACCACTGGGAACCTCTCTGATCTCGGGTTAGTTAGTCCTGCCCCAGCATGGGGTGGGGTGGAAAGCATGGCCTTTTGGGGTGGCTTTCCCTTTCTGGTTAGCTGTACGGGCTGAACGGAGCCCTCCAGGTCAGACTTGAGTGGGCCAAGTGGGAGGGCCATGCCCAGCCGGGCCTACCTGTGTTTATGCCCCTGCACCACCCGTAAAGCACTCACAGCCACAGGACGTTCAGAGGTGAAAAGGCCGTGCCCTGACCCCGGCTGGCAATGAGACCCCAGGCCTGTGCCCACGCTGGGAGGTCTCAGCTCACCGCAGACAAAGGGGAAGCAACTCACAGGGGGTTGTCCTTGCCGTGGTTGGCCAGGATGTCTCCCACGCGGATCTGGGCCCCTTTCAGATTCCCCCCGCAGCACTCGTCTTCCCTGTGCTTCACGATCACCACGGAGATGGACTGCCGGCTGCCCAAGTCCACGGTCCACCAGGGCTCCACTTCGAAATGGGTGTGGCTGCAGGAGCCTTCTTCCCACTTCCCATTGCGTTTCCCATCCACGGCTCTTCCAGCCACGGCTCTTCCAAGCTTATCCACGAATGTGGACGACTGAGTGGCCGGACGTCCCAGCGCCAGGTTCTGAGCTGGAATCAGAGGGCGAGAAGAGGGGAGGTGGGACGTGCCCGTTGCCGGAAAGGGTGGGGCTCTACAAGACCTTTGTCCAACCTGGGGTCTCAGCCCAGAGAGAGCGCCTCTCAGCCACCATGTCCCATACCCCGCAGGAACTGCTCCTCAGGCAGGAATGGGCCACGACGTTCACACATGAAACCTCCCCCACCTGTCCTGCCAGCTGCAGACCACGCCCAGGGGAGCAGTCGGAAGGGAAAAGTCTCCCAGGGCTTCTGCTGCCTCGCTAGGCAGAGCTCGGCACACAAGGGACTGGGGGTAACATGAAAGGGAACAGGTCTCCATTCACACAGTGCCAGCTCCTTACCCCCTGGTGGTGCGGCACAGCCCTGAGATAGAACCTCGACCTCACACAGGGACAGATACTCCTCCCTGCCCGGGATGACAATGGTGACGTAGCGGCCCTCCAGCCCGTCGCAGCAGATGGTGCTGAGGGATCCGGGTCTGGTGTCGTTAATGGTCCCGCAGCTAAAGGAAAGAGCAGGAGCCAAGGGAACAAAAGAAGATGAGGGTGTTCAAGTGACAGCACCTGCTGAAATTCACCGCACAGCGCTTCATGAACTAGCTGAGCCAGTCTCAGGACTATTCATGCTTGTGCAGAGACTCACGAAGGAGGGTGCAGTCCCAGAGCACGGGACAAGGGCAAACCTGGGCCCTGTCTTTGCAGTTCCTCTTTGTTCCCTGTTTCCAGATTGTGGACCAATGAGCCCAACTTCAGTGCCCCATGAGACATGGAAACAAACGATTGAACAGTCTGAAAGCAGCGGGAGGAGAATCATTGAATCATAGAGCTGGAAGAGATCTCAGGAGTCATCAAGTCCAGCCCCCTGCCTAAGGCAGGAACAATCCGAACTGAATCAACCCAGCCAGGGCTTGGTCAAGCCAGGACTTAAACATCTCTAGGGATGGAGACTCCACCCGCTCCCTAGGGAACCCAGCCCAGCGCTTCCCCACCCGCCTAGGGGAAGAGTTTTTCCTAATATTCAACCTAGACCTC